CTGCCCAAGTCGGCGTCCACCTACTCTGCGCCCCCAACCAGGCGGCCCACCAGCACTACGCCCTTGCGGTGGCCCCCTTGCCCACTGCTGCAGGTCGGCTGCATCCCCCGCGCACCCGACCAGGAAGTCTGCTCCGCCCAAGCGAGGACGGGGCCAAACACAACTCCCGTTGACATGCCCTTCATTGTAGTCACCTCGGCCTCTTCCTCTGCCAAAGCCTCTCCCACGGCCTCGGCCTCTCCCTCCCCCTCTTCCTCTGCTGCCTCCTGCAGCTCCATACCCCTCAGCAGTTTTGTTGGCAGCACCGCCTCCCGTGTGGCGCCTGCGGAAGTCCTCCTGCAGGATCTGCTGCCGTAGCCACTCAGGCGTCCACTTGTCCTGCTGAACGTTGAGGGTGGGGATGAGGTTGTCCCACGAATTGTCAAGCACCGAGATGATCTTCGTTTCAGCAGCTTGTAGCGCTTGAAGACGCTCCTCATCCGCCCACTCCATTCCTCGTAGTTGGAGCCATCCAACGCCTCAATCTTGGATGGTGGCGGCTCACTCCTTTTCTCAGCTGCATCTCCACTCCCTTGATTCATCTCCTCTGCTCCCAATTAAAAGTTTCAGCTCCCCCTTTTGCTGTCTTCACCGAAGTCCCACACAATTTTCACAAGTGTCGGCGCCAACAAAATTTCGGCAGAGTTTCCCCTTAGCGGAAGTCACGTGCAACCTCTAGAACTCCACTTAGGCATGCCCACAGGCCATGGTGGGTCTAGGAGGGTCTTCACACCTCAGTAGACTCTTCACAACGTCCTTAATTAGCTCTGATACCACTTGTTAGAGACTAAGGACGGAGTCTAGGAAGCTTAAGAGCAGAAATATCTCAAAATCGTTGGTCTATAATTCGGGACGGAAATGTCGACTTCACAAGAAACGCCGTCGACAAAACGTGTACCAGTAAAACTCTACTGATTTCGGATATGTTGTAGCACTAGTCCGTGGCTACGATTCCCAATTTGAATCACATGAAAAGGTGGAGTATTTCGCGAGATATTAATTTCGGCGCACTAGGGGGTATGCTGCCACAGAAAATTAACTCAATCACAATTAACTCACAAGTTCCACAAACAACATTAGAGTAGCACTAAACCAGGTGGGAGGGAAGAGGAGGACGAGAGGGAAGGTCCCAAGGGAGTCCCCAACCAAGGAAACCCCATACCACACAATTCCCTTCCCCATAGGCAACCAACTTTAACCTTTGTCACTTTCCTACCCATGCTATCCACCTCACCCAACTTGGCCACACTTGCCAACCTGTTTTTGGCTTCACCCAACCTCTTGGCAGCATCTACAGTGATGGTTTCGAATTTCCCAACCCCCAAAAGTCTGTACCCCATATTGAGTCAACCCCACAACTTCCCAAAGTAGCTACAACCAAAATAATATAAGCATGCGAACTCCAATGTTCGTAACTTTCTTGGTTGTGCTCCGATCGCGACGATTCTTGGTTTGTCGGAAAGCTCTTGAGCAGAGGAATCACTTCAGATATCTGCTCAAGCCAAGTAACATCCACACACACTCAGAAAATCCAAACCACACAAAACACAAATTTCTTGCACACGCTCACACCACGCATGCAACGCACGAACATATGATGGGAGGCAGACAGACGTGAATGCAAATGATAGCATCACACAACAAACTCCCCCTCTGGCTGTCTACCATCATTCCACATGTCATAGCTCAAGCATGCACTCTCAATGCACACTCATTCCAGCAAGTTTCATGCCCTTCCAATGCTCAGGTTCTGCCAGGCGCTTGGTGAGAATGTCAGCCGCCTGCTGCTGGGTCTTCACAAGCTCCAGTCGCACCTCCTTATCCAGGAGCCTTCTTATCCAGTGCCACTTGGGCCTGATGTGCTTTGGTAGGCCATGAAGAAAAGCATTTTTTGCCAGCTTCACTGTTGACTCATTGTCACAGAAAATCACAGTCGGCTCCTTCTGGTACACTTCGATCTCCTCCGACAAACGCCTAAGCAACACCACCTCCTTTGCCCCATGATGAAGGGCCATGTACTCGGTCTCACACGAGGACAGCCCCACCTCGTTCTGCTTCTTGCTGCGCCAGCTCACTGCACCACCTCCAAACAGGCACACATAGCCTCCAATGCTGGTGCCATCCGCCTTCACAGAGTTGAAGCTGGCGTCGGTGTAGCAAGTCAAGCGCATCTCCCCCTTGCTCAAGTCAGCTGCACCCCTCTGCAGCCTCTGTAGCGCTTGTCGAGATAGTAAGTACGATGAGGAGCCATAGCTAGGGTTGACCTAGCTAGGCAAGAGAGAATGAAGCAAAGGAGGGGTTTGCACTAGCAACAATGGTGGTACAAATAGCTAACCCTAGAAGGGTTGTACTCGCTATAGAGCACCCCACTGCAGGCTAGAGCATAATATTCTGACACACCCCCATAGCCAAAGTGGGGTGTAATCAGCAGAGCAAGCAAAGCAGTACAAGCTCAGGGTGGATCACGATGTCACCACACATTCTGAGCACAAGTTCAAGAAGCAATAGTTTAAAGTTCACAATTATGAGCAAAGCTAGAGGCAGTCACAGAGGGCAAGTGAGGAGGAGGAGGGCTGGCGAGAGGAGAGTAGATTAAGAGGCGACGACTGAAGCTGCAGACACACGGGCAACAGACGGCTCTGGTGCGACACAGTGGCTACCGGGAATGAGTGCCCCGGAGTACAGGAGTAACAGGCTCCGCGGCTAATACGCGCGGCAGGAGCAACGGACCCACAGGCGACGGCGCAACCGGCTCTCTGAGCTACCGGGAATGAGTGCCCCGGAGTACAGGCGCTGCGTACGACACGACGGCAACCTCCGCTCAACCTCCCCCAACAGTCCCACACCCCTCGACACACACCCCCTGCTTCAAACCCTAGCTCCACTCCCACGGTACCCCCCTTAAACCCCAAACCCTAGGCTCCCACACACCACCCCCCTCAGCGGCAGCTGTAGCAGAGGGAGACGAGGGAGGAGGAGGAGCAGGGGGAGTAACTCACAACCGACACCCCCATAGCCGCCACCCCCACACTCCTCACCCCCAAACCCTAAAACGGGCGGAACGGGGGAAGGAGCGCGGGGGACGGCGAGGGGGACGGCGCGCGGCCCCCAGGACGCCACCACGGGGCAGCGAGGGGCCGCGCGCGGCTCCTTAGGGCGCCGCGAAGGGGCAGCGGGGGGTCGCGCGCAGTTCCCCAGGGCGGCGCGACGGGAAATCGGGGGCCGCGCGCGGCTCCCCAGGGCGTCGCGACCGTCGACGGGGCAGCGGGGGGTCGCGCGCGGCTCCCCAGGGCGGCGCGACGGGAAATCGGGGCCGCGGGGGGTCGCGCGCGGCTCCCCAGGGCGGCGCGACGGGAAATCGGGGGCCGCGCGCGGGGGTCCCCCACGGTAGGAAACCGCCGCGCGCCTCGGGGCGCACGGCGGACAGGAAACCGCCGCGCGGCGTACGGCGGGTAGAAAACCACCGCACGCCCCGAGCGCGCGGCGGGATGAAAAATCCGTCGCACGCCACGGGGCGTGCGACACAAACAGTAGTAGGAGCAGCGGAAGACTGAGGTGGTGGGGCCCACCCACAGGATCGACCCAACTGGATCGTCCTGCTCTGATAGCATGTCGAGATAGTAAGTACGATGAGGAGCCATAGCTAGGGTTGACCTAGCTAGGCAAGAGAGAATGAAGCAAAGGAGAGAGGTTTGCACTAGCAACAATGGTGGTACAAATAGCTAACCCTAGAAGGGTTGTACTCGCTATAGAGCACCCCACTGCAGGCTAGAGCATAATATTCTGACAGCGCTCACATAGCGGACCAACCTCTTGGCCGCTTCCAGCTGCTCATGACTGGGACGTGACACCACACTCGCAAGCCTGGATGTAGCAAAGGCAATATCAGGCCGCGTGTGGTTAGCCGCATAGTTGAGTGCCCCAACCATGAAATCAAACAGCTTCCTGTCACTCTCTCCCACCACCTCCTCATCAGCACATGGCTCAACAGTGAACCCCGAAGGCAGTGGGGTGGCTGGCTTTCCTCCATCTTGCAGCCCATACTTCTCGGCCAGCCCCTCACAGTACTTCGTTTGGTGCAACCTCAACATTCCCTTGTCAAGGTCTCTCTCCACATGCATCCCAAGGTAGTACTTCACATCTCCCATCTTTGAGCACTTGAACTGCATCTCCAGCATCTCCTCCACATGCTCAATCATCACAGACAACTCAGATAAAAGCAGGATGTCGCCACATACACCAAGAGCATGAGAAACTCGTCCTTCTCTTGCAGCAGAAACAGGCTGTGGTCACACTCGCTCTTCTTGAATCCCCCAGCCAGCAGTGTCTCCTCCAGCTTGTGGTACCATGCACGAGGAGCCTGCTTCAGGCCGTAGATGGCCTTCTTCAGCCTGCACACCCTGCCGCTCCCATCATCCAACCCCTCAGGTTGCAGCATGTACAGCTCCTCCAGGATGATCCCATTGAGGAAGGCAGTGATGATGTCCATCTGCTTGATCTTCCATCCTCGGTTTCCAGCTGTTGCCAACAGCGTCCTCAGTGTAGTCCCTTTCCCCACAGGAGCAAAGAGCTCGTTGAAGTTCTTCCCCTTCGTTTGCTGGAACCCCTTAGCCACAAGCCTTGACTTGTAGCGGGTCAGCTCCCCATTGGGTCCATACTTGTGCCTGAAAATCAGCTTCGAAGAGATTGCCTTCTTCCCAGGAGGCAGCTCACACAGCTCCCACGTGTCATTCTCCAGCAGAGAGTCATACTCCTCCTTCACACTCTGCTTCCACTTCTCAGCATCGGGCCCACTCAAGGCCTCGGTAAGCGTCTTGGGCTCGGGGACGGCTGCCCAGTAGTTGTGCGCTATCTCCTCCTCATCACACTGCTCAACCACACTCCCAGCCCCTACCACACTTGGCTTCCCAAAGCTCGGGTAGGTAAGCCGGTTAGGAGGACGCACATCCTTCCTGGGACGGTCAGCCGCACGTTGCTGCTGCTGCTGCTGCTGCTGCGGCTGCTGCTGCTGCTGCTGCTGCTGCTGCTGCTGCTGCTGCTGCTGCTGCTGCTGCTGCTGCTGCTGCTGCTGCTGCTGCTGCTGCTGCTGCTACTCCACCTCAGGTTCTCCTCCATCCTCAGTCATCCCAGAGATCTCCTCCTCTGAGACAGTAACCTGCACTTGCCTCGAAGGCCGCTGCACCTCATCGGCCTCAATGATCAGCGGTGTAGTAGGAAGCTTCTGCTGCTGCTGCTTCCACTCCTTGTAGTACAGAGACTCAAGGAACTTCACATCCCTTGACACAGTCAGCTGCTGGCTGGTCAAGTCCCATATCAGCCAACCATTGTGGTCCTTCGCAAGTTCCAAGTGCACACCCCATCTCCCAGAAGCTTCCAGCTTTCCCCTCTTCTCTTTCGGAACATGAAACACCACCATGCAGCCGTAGGCTCTCAGCATGTTGACTGCTGGTGCACTCCCATACCACTTGGTGTAGGGGATCCACTGCTTGTCCCCCACAGTCGCCAGCACCCGGTTCTTCACAACAGCGACCTGCCTCGGTGTAGTCACCCAAAACAGATCCGGCAGCCCTGCATGCCCAAGTAGAGTGCGAGCACCTTTCTGCAAGGTCAGGTTGAACCGCTCAGCCACGCCGTTTTGTTGCGGGTTGTAGGGCACTGTGAGCTGATGCTGAATGCCCTTCTTCTTCAGCACCGCCTCAAAATCAGCGCCAATGAACTCTCCTCCGTTGTCGGTGCGGATCACTTTCACCTTGTGTCCGCTCACCCTTTTATCTCTCAGCATCCACTCCTTGAGAACAGCCGCTGCCACATCCCCCTTCGTCTTGAGAGGGTAGACCCACACCGCACGCGTGTGGTCATCCACAATGGTCAAGAAATAGTGGCTGCCCGAGAGAGAAAGGGCCCTTGTGGGGCCCACCACATCCATGTGCACAAGTGCAAGTGGAACCTTCGCTGGTCCCGTGCTGCTGCTAAAGGAAAACTTGGTGAATTTCGTCTCAAGGCATGTAGGGCAGCTCCCAATCTCCTTTGCTGCCCCCTTCACCTCCAGCCCCTTCAAGCTCCCATCCTTCACCAACTTCTGCAGCATCGGAATGTTTATATGGCACAACCTCTTGTGCCACGTCTCCCAATCGGCCTCACCACTCCCAGATGAAGCCTTTGCCCATGCAGCTGTTGCATCCACACCAGCAAGCACCTCACCATGTGGTTGCTGTGGCTGCTGCACCTTCTTGACTGCATCCAGGGCCCCAGCAGTTGGTGCAGTCTCCTCTCCTCCCGCAGTTGCCTTAGCCGCTGCCGCTGCCTTTGCCGTTGCTGGTGGTTTCCCATTCCAAGGGATGATGGGCAGCTGCCACAGGTCCTTGATGCAGCTGCTCTTCTCGTCCAAATCCCACAGCAGCAACTTCCCAAGCTTCGCACGGCCACTCGTTGGGCCGAATGTAACTTTGGCCTTGCTCTTCTGCAGCCGGCGCACAGAGAGGAGGTTAGCGGATAAACCTTCAACTAGTAGGTCATTTCTAAGCCCCACAAGCCCCCATTGGCTCCCATCACCTTGGCATTCCCAACACCAATTACAGGGAGCAAAGCACCTGAAGCGGCAGCCACAAACTTGATCTTCCCAGGGGGTTTCACCTCATCAAGCAAATCTGCCCGCGGAGTCATGTGACTCGTGCATCCTGAATCAATCACCCAGTGAGTGAGGGGGTGCATCACAACCTTCCCAACTGAACCCACATCATCCTCACTCTCTTTCACATCCTCAACCATGAGGAACATCCCAGGGTCGGCTTTACCTTGTGCACCATCACCTTGTGCACCTGAACCTTGCACAGCGCCACCTCGTGCGCGTTCACCACTTGGCGGTTTCATGTCTGGAGGTGCCCATCCTTCAGGCCGGCTGAAACACTTGAACCACGGGTGTCCAGCCTTCTTGCAGTACCAGCACGCTCCCTCCATTCGGGTGCTCCTCCTGCCGCCAGAGCTCCCATGCCCTTCATTGTAGTCACCTCGGCCTCTCCCTCTGCCAAAGCCTCTCCCACGGCCTCGGCCTCTCCCTCCTCCTGTTCCTTTGCTGCCTCCTGCAGCTCCATACCCCTTGAGGAGATTAACTCTACAACGGTGGGAGCTAGACTATAGGATGGGCACTGGTTGTAGGAGTGATCATAGCTCTGTCTGTGTTCTCTAGGACTTGTGTTTTCACAAGGCAAAATAGCAAGAGTTACACTAAGGAAAGTTGAGAATAGTAGAATTCAGAATGAGCAAGCAATGGCAAAGATAGAGTTCAGAATGAGCAAGCAATGGCAAAGATTGACTACATCACATGCAAGGTTTGCTAGTGCTCAGGCAGGTCGACTGCCAGCGTGACAGAGTTGTCGACCTGCCAACGTAGCAAGTCTGCGGTCCACCAACGCAGCTCATACGCGACTTGCCAACGCTGCAGATGGCGGCCTGCCAACGCTGCATTCACGCGGGTTGCCAACGCAGCATCCGCGCGGGTTGCCAACGCAGCATCCGCGCGGCTTGCCAGCAGCAGCACTCCGTCGAGGGCCCTGTACCACAGCAGTGGTGACTGCTTCAGTCCGTAGAGGCTTTTCAACAGCTTGCACACCCGGCCAGTTCCATCGTCATAGTAGTCTGGCTGGTACATGTACAGCACCCTGTCCAGCTTACTCTGCAGGAATGCATTCTTCATGTCAAGCTGCATCAGGTGCAAGTCGCGGACAGCAACGATGCTGAGGTAGATCCTCAGCGTGACGTAGCTGCTGACTGGTGCATACGTCTCTTCGTAGTCGGCACTGTACACCTGCGTGAAGCCCTTCACGACCAAACGTGCCTTCTCATGAGCGACCGTATCATCAATGTGGTACTTCGTCGTCAGCACCCATGATGTTCACCTAGATGAACCATCGTCGAGCTGCTCTCCTGTCGGCGGCTCCTCAGTAGACGCCTCCTTCGTCGACAACTCCCCTGTCAGCTGCATCCTTTCCACCCGCAGCTCCCTTGCCGTCGAAGGCTTCGCACCCTCGTCGACGAGCTTGACATCACGTCGGCCGCTGGCGATGCCCCTGGACGGCGCCACAGGCAACGTCCGCAGGCTCCCCTCGTCGCCAGTGGCTGACGAAGGTGTCTGCTCAGGCAAGTCGGCGACAACAGGTGGTGCAGTAGGAACAGGAGGAGGAGGAGTAGGATGGACCTCCTCGACATCCTCGTGAACAGCTTCGTCGACCTCGGCGAGCAGTGGGAACGTCGCCGTCGAGGAGTCAGTCGGAGAGTGGGTCTGCGCCCGTGTCGAAGCCGGCCCATGCGTCACCTTCCACACCTCCAGAGACATCGTCTCGTAGAAGATAGCCTCGACCGTTGTGACAAGCTTGTTGTCAGTCAGGTCGAGCACTTCCCATCCCTTGCTCTCCGGTGACACACCCAGGTGTAGCCCCCAACGAGCCTTCGACGCCAGCTTCCCACCACGCTGCTGCTCAGGGACCATGAACTGCACCATGCAGCCCCACACCCTCGCCAGAGTGAGATCAGGCTTCTTGCCTGCCTGTCAACAGCTGGTGCGGCGTCGTCCCCGGAGGCAGCGTCGACCGCTCCAAGCAATTGCACACCCAGACGGCCTGCCGCAGGGCGAGATGCCACCAGTGGTGCTGCACGCCCATATGCAGCAGCATCGTCCGCACAGCCTCGACGACCGTACGCATCTCCCTCTCCGCCATGCCGTTCTGCTGCGGAGTGTACGGGCAGGTCAGGTCGTGGACGATTCCCTTGCTGTTGACGAACTTGGTGAAGTCCTTCCCCAGGAACTCGCCTCCGCGGTCGGAGCGGAGCATCATCACCGACTTCTTGGTTTGCCTCTCCACGACCAGCAGCCACTGCTCGAACACATGCAGGACGTCGCTCTTCTTGGCGACCGGCCTCACCCACACGTAGCGAGTCTTTCGATCCTTCAGCAGAAGGAAGTAGTAGCTGCCATCCTTGGCGGCCACCCGGAACGGTCCGCACAAGTCAATGTGCACAACGGCAAGGGCTTCCTCCGCATCCGAACCTTTGTCAGGGAAGGTATGCCGCGCAAGTTTGCCACCTACGCAGGAGACACAAGACAAATCGGTCCCCGTGGAAGGCGTGATGTCCAGGCCAGTCGCGACATTGTGCTTCGCCGAGCTCTTGATGGTGTCAATGCCAACGTGCGCAAGCCTTGCGTGCCACCTGGGCGGCGTCAACTTCGTTGCCGAAGCAATCGTTCGCAGAGCCACCACCTCAGTCGACTTCGATGACAGCTTTGTCGAGCAGGGTTGAAGGTTGGTGCAGAGGACGCGGCCAGTATAGCGTGCTCGACCGAGCACCTCCCCGGTCGCGTTGACGAGTATGGTCTCGTCCCCGTCGTCCTACAGCAGCACACCATTCTCCTTCAGCTGGCCGGATGACAGCAGGTTTGCCTACACACACGGGACGTAGAGCACGTTGGGGATGAGGACCTGCTTCCTTGCCTCCCCTTGCAGAGCGACGGTGCCTCTGCCCTCGACGGTCTGCAGAGCCCCGTTGAAGCCACGCACATGCTTCACATTGCCGCTCGGCCCCATGTCGACGAAGGCCTCCTTCGTCCCCATGAGGTGGTGTGAGCAACCGCTGTCGAGCAGAACCACCATTGGATTCGCCTGCACGGCTGCTGCGACCGCTTTGAAGTCTTCGCTGACCTCTGGCGCCAGTGAAACAATCTGCTCCACCATGCTGACCATTGAGCATGAAGCCTCTCCGTCACCTTGCCCCTTGCCGCTCGAGGAATCGACCTCCTTCGTCGACGACGTCTTATTTGACGTCTGCTTCTCCTTGCGCGGCTTCTCATCCCGACTTTGACGACCATTGGCCGACCTTCCACGGCCTCCCTTGTGGTCATCGTCGTCAGTGTCTTGACGGTCTGGGCAGTCATAGGAGAGGTGGTCGGCGCTTCCGCAGACCCAGCACTCACGCCGTCGACCACCCTTGCCGCGACCTTTTCCACGAGTTGATTTCTGCTGGTCGGCGTCCTTCGCCGACCTCCCACCTCCGCTACCACCTCCGCCAGACTTTCCTCGCTGCCCCTGCGGACGATTCTGCTTCGTCGGTGCAGCGTAACTCGCCTGCGGAAGGAGCTCCGTGGGCTGCTCTGCCTCCTGCATAGCCTCATCTTGAAGGATGTAGCTGGTGATTGAGTCCTCGTCGAGTGACTCCTGCGTACCAGGCACCATCATCATCCTCTTCATGAGGTTGTAGCTACGCGGCAGGCCCTTGACGACGTGGGTGATGTAGGACGCCGTAGAGTATTCGGCGCCCGCCATCCGCATTTCGGCCAGTATCCGTCGAGCACGGTTGCAGTAGTCCGTCG